TAGCTTTTAGCTAGCCTCTTCATACTATAGCTTTTAGCTAGCCTCTTTATACTAGTTTCTAGCCAGCATCTCAATTCTTTAGTTTTTAGCTAGCCTTTTGATAATAGAGCTTCTGTGTATCCCCTTGATATATTTACCTTGGTTTTGCTAGTTTTAGCTATCAGAAAATATGTTCTAATTTTGCCTTAAGATGCTCCCTCTGTTACTTCCTACTTCAGCCTTTTGCTGCTTTTAGCGTTTTCTGTTTTTAGCACATCTTGCTCTTTAACATATATTTAACTACTTTTTAGCTACTGTTTTGCTAAGTTTAGCTTTTAGCTAGCCTTTTGCTACTTTTGGCTTGGGATCCCCTTTTAACTTTAAACTATAATGGAGTTTTGCTACGCTCAGTTTTTAGCTATTGTTTTGCTTATTCAGCTAGTGTTTTCCTTTTAGCAACTTTATTCCACCTTCTTTAACAAATTTCAGCACTCAGTATTTACTCATTTTTTACAGGAAACTAAATAGATTTTATTTTCAGTTTGTCTTCAAACGTTCAGCTGTGGTAAGCGGACTTTTTTTGATCTTTATCCCGTCGTGTCTGTGTGGTGGAGGAAACTGCGGGCCTTACTGAAGGCTGTAGCCATGGCCTGGTGCTCCATGGAGGGCTGGCTGTCTCCGGAGGGCAGGTCTGGTCTGGTGAAGTCTCGGCTCTTCTCGTTGTTATATTTGACGTTGAGGCTGGTGAGCTTGGAGAAGCTGATCCTCAGGGTGCAGCAGCCGTTGTAGATGTTCTGTCCATCTAAAGACTGGAAGACAAAGGTGTCAACATCAAAAACCCGTTCACCCCCGAGAAACCGCTGGAGACCCACCGCCGCTCACCAGTTTGGCCGCCTGGGCCGACGCTCCTTCTGAATACTGCAGCAGAGCCTGGAACTGATTGTTCTTGGTGAAGATGATGATCCTCAGCACCGTGCCGAACTTTGAAAAGATCTGAGGACAAAACAGGAGCCGAGTGACACCCATGATATAAATAAATGTTTCCAAATTATCTGACAGGACATAATTCCTCTGGCAGATACAAGGACAGAGACTGAGCTAATGCATTAGCACCATGCTAGTTTATGCATTAAGAACAATTAGCATTAGCACAAAATGTGTTTCCATGTTGGACAGATGCTAATTTTAAAAAATGATAGATGTGTTGATAACTGTACTTACCTGACAGAGAGCATCCAAGGTGACCGGGTAGAGCAGGTTCTCCACCACCACCCTCAGCACTGTACTCGGAGCAGCCAACGGCGTGTCCACGTGAGAGGAGCTGAGGGCCCGGAGGGCTGCCTGGGCCCTCTGAGACAGGACAGACAGTGAGCAGGAGCTGCCAGGAGCTAACGGATGAGTAGGACTGTTTGTTTTCTTACCTCCTGGTTGGGGGAGTTGTCAGTTTTTAACTCCTTGTGGTTGGAGAACTGAACGTAGACGGGTTGGTGTCTGATAACGGGCATCACTGTGGAGTAATAACCCACCATGTTCTGAGCCGTTTCCTCCGAGTTCATCTCTAAAAAAGCCTGAGGAAAAAAGAAACCAAGTAGAGTTTATTACAGGAAACCTCTACAAGTTTGGAGACACAGCAGCATCAGTCAATAAAATCTGATCAACCTTTTGAATCGGTATGAAGTTTGGTTATGATTAGTTATGAGACAAATTCATACATATTTATTGACAAACTGCTGTTACTGTTTTCACCCTGAGCTTTCTCTGATGAAGTTAAACTGTCATTTCAACTGAAATCTGGAAAAGTCCTCCTTGTACCTTCCAGCTTGCCTGTAAACGAGTCCTCGAGGCTCAATGGGATTTGCCTGTCTAAATAAAGGTTGAATGAATGCCTATTATATTCTAGCTTCTTGCAAACCTCAAGAAACCACAACTTCTTGCTAGCCTCTTGACATTTTAGCTTGTTACCAACAGGTAGTGTCAGTTTGGTTCAACCCGTACCTGGTTTTTGGCTTTGAGCATCAGCAGGTTGGTGACGTCTCCAAACGGCAGACCGAGGCTGATCACCTCGGCCTCTGTGATGTCGCAGGGAAGTTTGCGGATGTGGATGACCCGGGACGGCAGGCTGGGCCCTCTTATGTCACCTTTGAACTTCTTGCTGTCGTTGCCATTGGCTTCAGAGGCGACAAAGGGTTTAAGACAATGTAAGAAGACATGTCCTGATATTCAACAGGGAGGTGCACCACAGGGATCTATTATAAGAAAACTTTTATTTTTATTAACTTCTTTCTTTTTCTCAAATTTGCAGCAAATTCAGATTTGTTAGGAGTTATGAGATTGTCTCATAAGAGATCACACGCCTCATTTATAAAATTTGTGTATGATGAATCTATTAAAAGATCAGCGTAGTCAAATGCATTGAGAAACGTGGACAGCAGAGCGAGTTCTGACCTGTGGTGCTCATGATATATGGGCCGTTGGAAACACTGGAGAAAAGCTCGTCAGATCCTCTCTAGAAAAAAAAACAACAAACATCAGTTTTACTGAAAACGTGGGTCACAAACATTTACATCTATATCAGCCTATTTGAGGAAATAGGCAAACAGGAAAATTGTCGTCTACTGAAGATGCAAAGCTGCCGGACTGACGTCAACTTGATCAACTTCATTAAAGTAAAAAGTTCTGACAATGACACGACACAGAACAAATGTACTTATGGAGATTAAATCAACTCCAATCCCAAAAAAAAAAGCTTTAAAAATATGCAATAACGTGCAAACCCGTTTTTCCCACAATAAAACCAGTGAACACGTTTTAAAATGAGAAGCAGAATGTGGCTCTGAGCACCACAGAAACCTGAAGAACGGACCATAAACCTGCAGCTGAGCGTTGGACTAACTGTATGCATCAGTTGTTTCACTTCTTGTATTTACCACCAGATGTCACTGAAGAGAACACGTTTCCTCACCCGAGCATGAGTCGTGGTCAAACTGTGAGGAGGAAGACGGAAACTACAAACTGATTATGTCACACCGAGCATCATCTTCTGCCTGAAGATCCTCCTCCTCCCCCAGCGTGCAGCAGCCGGGGGTAAATTCCTGAGCTCAATGGAAAACAGATGCCGACAGACAGAGCGAGGCTTCTTCAGCCCTTCTCCCGCTGCAAGAGCCAAACCTTCATAAACTGAAACCAACAAGCGTCAACAATAAAACTGAAATCAGCAGGACGGTTTCCTGTTGTTTCACAATAAAAGCCTTCATTTCCCAGCCAACAAACAAAAACACTACCGGTTATTCTTTTTCCTCCATTTGTGACCTACAGCTGGTTAAACGAGTCGGCGTGAGCACAAGCTGCTGTGAAAAATATAAGTGAAACTGTTGATACATTATTACTATTTTTGTAAAAATAAGTCCCAAAGGCACCATCTAGTGATCTCAGTAACTAAAATAAAAATGTCCTAATCTACCCTTAAATCAAAGTTTTCTAACAGGTATGTCTTCAGAAATATTCCTTTGCATTATAACCCTTATAATTTCCTTTAAAACCAACCACTGTCGGGGAAATCCCTTCATATAATGTTTGGTGCCACTGTACAGCTCGGGGACTCCCCTTTTTAAATATAGAGCTGCTATTTCTGATGACATCACTCCAGACTGATAAAAACTCAAGTTTTTAAACCGGCATTCTTGTAAACAAAGTTAGCTTGTTGCCAGGCCAGGCGGTAAATCACCAAATTTCAACAAACTCATTTTGAAGCTTTTGAGAAGAATTTAAAAATAATAAATCAGCGTTGAAAAAATTCTCATTGTTACTCCTTTAGTCGTTACAGCCCATCGTTAAGTCAGGCGATAATGTTTCTGTCGGTCTTTTAGCAAAATATCTCGGGAACGACGAGCTTGGTCGAAGCAGATGTCCGCTCGCCCTGAGCCCGGTTCTGCTGGAGGTTTCTTCCTGTTAAAAAGGAGATTTTTCTTTCCACTGTCTCCTTTCTGCTCGCTCAGGATGAGAGACTGTGACGAAGCGACGACTCAACACAATCTGCTGCTTCCTGAGATAAATAACTTTTACTAACAGTCTTTGAATGTTTCTGTTCAGTGCCCTGAGACGACTTCTGTTGGGACTGGATATATAAATAAACTGAACTGAATTATTAATTAATAATAATCAGCAATTAATTTTAATGAAACCTTCAGAAGGTGATTATTTGATGTACAACTAGAACTGATTGACATTTGGAGTAAATTCAAGATGTCTGCCATGCCCAAATTACTTTAAAATTAAAACAAGAGTACTGGCACATGATAAGCCTTCAACAAACAACCATACAATCTACAGCCATGAGACGAGCAAAAACCTCCAATAGCATAATTTTAATATTGACCTTGGTTTGTGGCATTGACCCTAGAGCTGGCGTGATGGAAACATTATGCAACGCACCATCTAGTGGTGGTACACGTTTTAATATGTACAGTATTGCACCTGAACAACAACCTCAGCTGGAGCAACACCACCACCAGCCTGATGAAGAAAGCTCATCAGAGACTCTACGTCCTCAGGCGGCTGAGACGAGCTGGTCTGGGAAGCTCAGTCCTCACCTCCTTCTACAGGTGTGCAGTGGAGAGCATCCTGTGCTCCAGCATCAACGTGTGGCATGGAGGCTGCACAGCTGCAGAAAGAAAAGCTTTGCAGAGAGTGGTGAAGGCTGCACAGAAGATGTTGGAGTCAGTCTCCCCACCATCACAGACATCTACACCTCCAGATGCAGGAAGAGGGCCACCTGCATCATGAAGGACCACACTCACCCAGCACACACACTTTTTGCCCCGCTCCCCTCAGGAAGGAGGTTGAGGGGCATTAAGTGTAGAACCACTAGACTGAGGAACAGCTTCTACCCTGAGGCTGTTAAGACTCATGAATCTCTAACCAGAATAATCACTGTGAAAAACCCTCAAAGTCCATGCTCAATAATCCAGGTATACAATCCAACAAATTTCAGTCAGGTCATCTGGACAGTTATTTTTTTCTGAAACGTTTCACCTTCCATCCAGAAGGCTTCAACAGTCAAGGAAACAACACAAAACTGAAAACTGTGAAAGAACTGTGAAAAATCACATCATGGTGTAGAGGCAGGGCGGCCGATTTGGGATCCGAAGGTCCCAGGTTCAATCCCGAGTCATTGCACACCTTGTGGTGTCTCTGAGCAGGACACCTCGTCCCCAGTTGCTCCCCGGGCGCTTTCAATAGCTGCCCACTGCTCCACCTGGTGGTGGATGGGTTAAATGCAGAGAGCCAATTTTGCCATTGTATGGGAACATACAATGATGACAACACGTAATACATTATCATGTTGCTGCTGATCTGTTTCATGTTGCTGCTGATCTGTTTCATGCTGCTGCTAATCTGTTTCATGCTGCCGTGTTCATTCGGCTCATCTGCTCACAGACTCATGTTTGTGCTGCTGTTCGGCGTTTTTTTTTTTATGATATTAGTGCTTAGTGTATTTTTTATTAAAGTTTTTCCTTAGTTCATATCTTAGATCTTTATTACTGTTTTTCTTTTACATTTTACTACTTTTGTTGGATGTAACTGGGACCCTGTCTACATAATTTTGTTCCAACACATGTACCACATGTGGTGTGTACGACAAATAAAGAACCTTGAATCCTTGAATTAAGTTTTGGTAAATTATCTTGAGCAGATCAGAAGGCGGAGGGTTTCCGGTTCGGTGGCCTCAGGATTCCATCTCTGCTCTTTGCAGATGATGTGGTCCTGTTGGCGTCATCGTGCCGTGATCTTCTGCTCTCACTGGAGCGGTTCGCAGCAGAGTGTGAAGTGGCTGGGATGAGAACCAGCACCTCCAAATCTGAGGCCATGGTCCTCAACCAGAAAAGGTGGATTGCTCTCTTCAGGTCGAGGGTGAGGTTCTGCCTCAAGTGGAGGAGTTCAAGTATTTCTGGATTTTGTTCACGAGTGAGGGAAGAATGGAACGGAAGATTGACAGATGGATTGGTGCAGCGTCTGCAGTATTGCAGACTCTGTACCGGTCCGTTGTAGTGAAGAGAGAGCAGCGCTGTAAGGCAAAGCTCTCTGTTTACCGGTCAGTCTATGTTCCTACCCTCACCTATGGTCATGAACTCTGAGTAGTGACCGAAAGAATGAGATCGTGGATACAGGCGGTCGAAATGAGTTTCCTCCGTAGGGTAGCTGGACTCTCCCTTAGAGACAGGGTGAGAAGTTAAGTTATCAGGAGAGACTCCGAGTAGAACTGCTGCTCCTCCACGTCAAGAGGAGCCAGTTGAGGTGGTTCGGGCATCTTTTGTTTTTTCATTCAGCCTTTATTTAGACAGATAAATCCCATTGAGCCTCGAGGACTCATTTACAAGAGAGACCTGATTTCAACAAAGAATGATGACAACAATGGACAACAGCAACAACAAACAGTTATAAAAAGTCATACTACAGTTGTTTTTTTGGGTTTTTTTAAACGAATAGGATGGCTAAAAGAAAAAAGTAACAAAAACCAGCTAGATTCTAAGGCGAATGTAGAAAACTAAAAACAGGAACATGTCAGCATTGGTCCCTGCCAGGAGTCCAACAGATTCTTAAAGACACTTAGAGAGGTCAAAGGTCGAGAGCTTCAAATCTTTTTGTAAGATGTTCCAAGAAACAGGAGCGGAGTAGGAGAAGGTCCTTTTGCCTAGTTCAGTCCTCACTGAGGGAACACTGCAGGTAATAATGTCCTGAGAGCACACTCTGTAGCTGCACTCACACAGAGACATGTAGGAGGAGATGTATGAAGGCAGCAGACCAAGAAGTGATTTAAAGATGAAAATGTACCAGTGAGAGAGTCTGTGTGAAGTTAATGGTGACCAGTTAACCAGTGAATACTGGGTGCAGTGGTGGGTACGATAGTTACAGCCAGTTATGAATCTTAGTGCACCATGATAGACAGCATCCAACATCTGCAGCATCCAACATCTGCAGGGTTCTTGTAGGAGCGTTCATGTAAATAATGTCATCGTAATCAATGGAGGGAAGGAAAGTCACAGATACAAGGTGTTTCCTAACATTCAGGGTTAGACAGGATCCGTTTCTGAAAAAGAAACCCAGTTTAACTTTCAGTTTCTTTACCAAGTTTTCCACATGGAGCTTAAAAGAGAGATGTGAGTCGACCAAGATACCCAAATATCTATAGGAATCAACAAACTCAATCAGGACACCATTTGAGGATAAAATCGGAGGAAGAACTGCTGGGACCAACTTCCTATTTGAAAAAAGCATCTCTTTGGTTTTGTCGGCATTTAGGACAAGTTTGAGGACAATGGTGCCTCCCTAGAGCGGTGCTTTGGGCATATCCAACTGGGAGGAGACCCCGGGGAAGGCCCAGGACACGCTGGACAGACTATGTCTCTCGGATGGCCTGAGAATACCTTGGAATCCTCCCAGAAGAGCTGGAAGAGGTGTCTGTGGAAAGACATGTCTGGGCCTCCCTGCTCAAGATGCTGCCCCCGC